TTAACTTTTCTAACTTTCCCGCCGGTTCACCAACTTCCAAGTGAAGTTTGAATATTTCACCGAGAAAGTTTGACTGGTAGCAATATATTTGGTTAACAAATGATCCTTTCTCAGTTTCGCGCGGACAGTTTGCATATTGAAAAATAAAGTTACTTAAAATGATAAGGTACAAGTTTTTATTGAACTAAATAATTATCTAAGGCATTTTGCAAGAGCTTTGGTATTTTTTTTTATATAGTATAAGGTGGCAAACGAGCAAGCAGCCACCTGAATCCATTGAAATGGAAAGCGACCGCTGCTCATAAACATCCGCAATTACAGATGCGTTGCCTACCCTTCATTGACGGAGGAGGAGATGCATATAAAGAGAACATTTCCCCTTCCTAAGCGTCTCCTCCACCGTCAAATCCCCACTTTTCCTTCCCATCCTTTCCTCTTAAGAAAAGGGTGGAAAAGGAAAGGTTCACGAAAAAATTTTATGGTTTTCGTGAACATTTTGTTGCTTAGTTTTGTAACAAATATCTACGTAAATAGACGAAATGAGGTTCGACACAAAGTAATGACTTATACTTAATTCCTAAGGATGTTAAGCTATTTAATATCATATTAACTTACAATAGGTATGAGAGTATCAGTCTGTGGCTGTGCGGGCGAGGCGCCGCCCGCTTCTGGTTCCGGGTTGATCGCCGTTTGAATCACTTGCTGCAAAGAAAACTCAAATAAATACATTTATCTTTATATATGTGTTTTCTATACTATTATAATAAATCGTAAACACACACTTCTTTGTTGCCTAAGATCTCAGCAATTACAGCATATTTTTGAATAACCCTTTTTTTAATAAAAAGCCCTACACCTGTGTCACACTTTAGGCTATATATTTTCACGCCATTAAACTTAGGGGTAAACATATTGGATAAAAACCTTAATGTGGGAAAGAGACCATAAGTTGCTGCCAACATCAAGAAAGAAAGATTACTAAGGTTTGTCATGTCATGTTATGTCATTTTGACATTTGCTATTGATAATTTGACAAATGTAAACAATAAAATAAAGTTTTTATATTTTCACGTGGATGAATCCACACGCGAACAGCTAGCACTGGATATTTCGGAGTCAATAAGCATTGAAATACCTTGGATATTTTCTTCATGACAGCGGGCGGCGGGCCGTCGTTGCTGTCAGTGGGGACGTAAAACATCTGCGTGTCCAACGAACCATCCGGCTTTGGAATGGGTTTGATCTGAAATTATTCAAAAAGTTACTAATGAAAGCAGAAAAACATACAATATCTGAAAGAGACGATCTCGTACGAGAAGGTACGCGCGAGTAAAATAAATAAGAAATAAACCAAAAACAACTTTTAATAAAATTTACAAATTAAATAATTATATACATTTCAGCCTAGCGTTGTATGTGACATCTGCTCGAACAATACTTCAAATATTTACAAAAGAATAAATAAAAAAATAAACATTCTTATTTTAAAAATAAGAATATAAAAAGGATTATTGCATCGCCAACAACATCTACTTTAGAAATTTCAAGGAAATGCAAATAGCCAAGTGTTTGTGGTAAGAGCTACCGATCTAACGGTCGTGGGATCGATTTCCAGAATTCTATATATTGTGGACCATATCTTAACACAAACTTTTTCAAATTTACCTGGAATAGTTACAAGAAATAATAGCAAATTATTAAAAAATGTGCTTATCAAAAAATAAGAAAAAGCCAACTGCATAAAAATTCTATAAGCTAAGGATTAAGAACGTGCGTACTTTGATAGTGATTCGTGGATGAGGCATTTCAGGATTTTCCATATCTTGCGTCTTCTTTTTTCTCTTATGTTTGTGCGGTTTAGAGGGAGACCGCAACAAGTCGGGAGAGTATCTGGACCTGTGCTTCTCTTTCCGTCGTTTTCTATTCGCTTTGTAAGTCGCGATGTCCGAAGAGAGATTAGCGAGCGTGTTCTCTATCGAACTCTCGATGGTCTTCGAGTCTCTCTCTTTTGCATCGCCGAGTAGAGAAGAAAATGAGAGATTCTGTGGTAGGTAGCCGTCTTCCTTCTTCGCCGAGGCGTTGGTGAGAGAAGCATTAGAGTTTTCGTTGTGAGAATCATTGGGACTGTCGGCGACTATGGGCGTTATCGACATGAGAGGAGTGTTCGTAAGAGTGGGAGAAGTAAAACTGCGCTTGTGCAACTTCTTCATAGGATGTTCTTCTCCGCCAGATGCGGCATACTCTCTTTGCTTCGAGGACTTCGCCTTCTTCTCTTTCTTCAATTTCACCTCGACATTTTCATGACCGTCGCTACTAAAGTCGAAAGGTTTGATCGTGACTTTGATGGGAGAGATATTTTCCGGTATTCCGAGGCCGTTAGTTTTCGATTTCTCTGTTTTATGGGCTTTTTTAGCTGGCGGGGAGTTGAGCAGGGCGGCGGGACTCAGAGGTTCCGTTATGATGGTGCCATCCTTACTGTAGCGTATACGCGATCTTCGGGGCACCTTCTTTTCCAATACTTCTGGTTCGGAATCCGATGTTTTATCGCATTCGGAGCATTGCCTGTGAAAATATAGAACTTTAGACCAAACTTGTTTTAAGTATTCTTTATTACAAAAAAACATAATTGTAAAGAATTTTTATAATATACTGTAATTTCTAAAACACAACGCTATTAGTCGAAGCCAGTGATTTATCTATTATGGCGTCGCTGTGTCAATACACAGTTCATTTACGTTAATTTATGTAAAAATAAAGAATAAATGAAAACAATCATTACATACCACTTATTTGTGTAGTTATTGTTTAGTCGCACGAAAATGATCGTAATTTTATTTTAATTTTTTAGCTGAATGGTTGTATATTTTCGAGTCAATATATGAAGTAAGAAAGATGTTTCATGTTTCAATTACCATCCGTATAGTTTGCTCTTCTTGGGCGGTCTCTGCAGCGGCGGCTTGAGGCAGTGCAGGTGGT